TCTTCTGTTCTTCAAATAATCAGGATTCAATTAATGTCCACTCCAAATAAGCAGAGTGGATTATTAAGTGGCAGTAGGTAAACAGTGTGGAGGCTCCATGTCAGAGTCTGCTGCAGGTGCTCTGGGGATTTACCCTGAATCATTCCTATAACACTGTCACTCAAAGAATGTTATTACCTACAGGTCTACAGAATTAAAAAAAAAATAATCACAAGTTAAATATTTCACATCAAGATTTAGAATTAGAGGCTGTTTGATATGTTCCAGCAAAAAAAAGTATAAAAAATAAAATTTCTATGTAAAAGCTGCTACATTAATTTATGCCTGAAACTTTTTTCAGTGTTTATAATGGTCCACTATAGCTACAGATGGCAAATTTTTAGGTCACCTGAGTAACTCAGGTGACCTATTGCTATCCGTTTTCGTCCGTCGTCGTGTGTCGTGCGTCGTGCGTCGTGTGTTAACATTTGAACATTTTCAGCTTCTTCTCTGAAACCACTTAACCAATTTCAACCAAATTTGGTATACAGCATCTATGGGTGAAGGGGAACAAAAATTGTGAATTTCATGGTCCCTGCCCCCCTGGGGCCTGGGGGGTGGGGCAAAAACCACTTAAATTATTGCAATCTTTAAAAATCTTCTTCTTTACTCCTGGACATCAAGCAGTCAAACTGTTTGCATGATTGTTATCAGCATTGAATCCTTTACCAAAATTGTGAAATTCATGGCCCTGGGGTCAGGGGTTCTAGTGCTAGGGTGGGGCTATATAGATTATATAGTGAAAATGCATGATTTCTTTGAAAATCTTCTTCTCTGCTCCTAGGTATAAGATAAACTAACCAAGCACTTAGTTATGATGAGCAAGAGTGCCTCTTCCAAAATTGTGAATTTTATGACCCCAGGGTCAGGGGTTCTGGTGTTAGGGCGGGGCTCTATTGGTTATGTAGTGAAAATGCATAAATTCTTTGAAAATCTTCTTCTCTACTTCTGGGTATTAAATAAACTAATTAAGCACATAGTTATGATAAGCAAGAGTGCCTCTTCCAAAATTGTGAATTTTATGACCCCAGGGTCAGGGGTTCTGGTGTTAGGGTGGGGCCCTATTGATTATATAGTGAAAATGCATTTATTCTTTGGAAATCTTCTTCTCTGCTCCTGGGTATTAAATAAACTAACTAAGCACATAGTTATGATGAGCAAGAGTGCCTCTTTCAAAATTGTGAATTTTTGTGACCCCAGGGTCAGGGGTTTTGGTGTTAGGGCGGGGCTCTATTGATCATATAGTGAAAATGCATAAATTCTTTGAAAATCTTCTTCTCTGCTTCTGGGTATTAGATAAACTATGTAATTAAATAGTAAAGTTGATCTAGAGTGCCTCTTTCAAAATTGTGAATTTTATGACCCCAGGGTCAGGGGTTCTGGTGTAAGGGCGGGGCTTTATTGGTTATATAGTGAAAATGCATTTATTCTTTGAAATTCTTTCCTTTGCTTCTGTGTTTTATAATGCCTATGATCCAAATATATATATTTATGATGAATAAAGGGGCACCTAGCAAAATGGCTATTTTTTATGCCCCTTCCCTGGGTCGAGGTGAGGGGGGGGGGTACAAAGTCTAAAATTAATTAATGCTTGGAAATTTGCTCTTTGGTGTTAATCAACCATTTTATGATAAAATTTGCAAAATTTTGAAATATGTGACCCCAGGATCAGTGGTTCCTTTGGGATGAGGTGTACAACTGGTAATAAAGTGGAAGTGCATTTTCTTTTAATTGTACTCTGATCTACCTCTGGGTATTAAGTTAACAGAGTTAGCATGCTAAGTCTAAATTATTATAAGCAATGGTACCTCTTTCAAAATTCTGAATTGCCAATTCCATGGCCTCTGGTTTATAACATGAACCAAATTTAATTGTTTGAAAGTTGTTGCACAATACTCAGGTGACCTACAAGGCCCGTGGGCCTCTTGTTATTTTTTACTCACCTGAATCACTTTTAACTAGCCTCTCAAATGTGAAAAGTAGGGATGTCAACGAATATTCAAATATTCGAATATTCATTCGATGAGTTGATATTCGAATATAAATTCATGATTCGAATATTCGGATTTTAAGTATACAAGCATAAAAAGAAAAAAAAAATCTGACAAAAACTGAAGTTTTATCAGAAATTGAATCAAATTCTCATCGTTGACCAATAATAAAATTTTATTTAAAACAAAATTAAAAGACACTCCTCTTGGATTACCTTAAAGGTGTGAAGAGTGTGTCTATTAAAGTAATATAAATTATTCATTTGGACATTTAATTAGAGGTATAACAGTGTCCAGTACTTAGAATTAGTTTGTATTGTTGAAATGACACATTTTTGTTTATGTATACATCATTTAAAATCATTATCAGAAAATTAATTAGCTTAGAGTAATTGCTTTTAATGTTTCTCCATTAGATAATTGTTTTGTGTGGTATAAATCTGTAGGGTTATCAGTGTACACTTTGGTAAGATGATTAATTAATCTGGAACTTATTAAAAGAATCTTTTGAATTTTCGGGGGGAAATTTTTTTTATTACATTTTGGATATAAATCTCCATATAGTCTGTAAAATATTTAAAGAATATAATTAAAGTGCATTAACAAAACTCTACATGAATTTTTTTTCCCCAAAATAATGACATAAAACGTATATATTGCTTGACAAAAGAGTGAAGATATATATAGATTATAATGCAAGATGTATTTATTTTATCGAATATTCAAATATATTCGAATACTACTATCGAATATTATTATGCTTCCTGTCAGTTTGTCACTATATAACCCATACCCTACTATTCTTGCATAGTGGTCTAAGGATTTATATAAAAACTATGCCGAAATAGTGCACGGCTTTAAAAATAAAATTTGCACATTATGTCACGACCATGAGAAGTGCGATGCCTTATCGATTACGCCATGATCACTGATTGATGTAATTTTATTAAATATATAAACTTAATTTATACAATTGACACAAGAAGGAGAAAATAGACAAATATTATTTGAAAACAGTTATATTATTTTAAGGAACTTTAGATTAATGTGTACAACAAACTTTCAAACTAATTACATACAGATCGTTAGATGAACTGATTTTATACATTAAAACGCTTTTTTATATTTTTGAAGGATATAAAAGAAAATTATTAATCGACGTCTGCAAACAAATAAGGCTCAAGAACAAAACAGAAAATAAAGATGTGTTGCTTTGGGACAGAAAAGCCTCTAGAGAAAATATATACTAGTAACCAAAATAACTAAGCATGCAAACAATTTTAGCATTAATATTTTGAATGAGTTCTTGCAAGTGCGCTGTTTAAGCACCGATATTTTCAGGAAAAAGTCAAATAGATTGCCGCATAAATAATTACAACAGTCAGCATAATAATCTTTAATGTAAAAAAAATGAACTCGCCTCCGGCTCGTGCACCATGTGAAACCCTGCCCTATTTAGGCTACATGCATAATCTATATTTCGAATATCAATTATTAACAATTTTGACATCCCTAGTGAAAAGTGTTTCATTTCAGTTCTTTAGACTCAAATTCAATGAAAAAAAAATGAATTAGACACCCCTATTTCTCTTTATTTTGAAACTTTTTAATTCAGTGACACAGTCTACTTCTCCACTTGTGTTCTTTAGGCATTTAAACTTTGGAAAGTAATTAGTGATTTTTATATTATAAGTTATTAAAAGTGTTTTGAGATAATTACTAGCATGAAATCATTCACAAAATTATCATTTTGAATAGACTGCACCATTAGTCCTTGCTATAAAATTTAAACTCTTTTAATATTCCTGTAACTTAAGTCAGACTTACAAATGTGAGAAATTTTGATAAATGTGTGATATTAAGTAAATTTTACAATCTTGTGCTGATTGCAATATGTCAGAGGGTTCATGATATATTTTGACATTGTGTTTATGGTTTGTAACATCTGTGTATACAGATTTTTTTTAAAGAAGGGTCATGTAAACTGTATGCTGTTGTTGATAATCTTATATAAATTTCCCGGATGATAAAATGTGACTCATATTACCTTTAAATTACTGTTGCAAGCAATGTTATGTCAAAGGGTCAAATGATGGAGATAAAGTTATCTCCCTTGATGTATAAATCCTGAGACTTGCGCTCTTTGTTTCTCTGTAGTGAGTGTTTAAAGTCTTTGATATCTGATTTCTGGGGGAGTCTGCTTTATTTATGTAGATCATCAGCAGAGACAATAAACACCTGTCTAGTCTTCAAGTCACAAAAATACACATTTTTTGTTAAAGGAGGATGAGAGGGTCAAGCTTTTGCTAACGTGGGATCAGTTTTAATAAATACTGTATACAGGGTTATTTTTGCCTTGTGTTATTTTCATCCTTATACACTTGCGGATAAATTTTTTCCCTGATTTAAATCACCTCATAGTGTTTATTTTAAGTAATTTTACTGTATTCTTTGAATTTGTCCCGTTTTAAAATCGCCCGAATGAGGGTACTGGGCAAAAATAATTTCCCTGTATAGAGTAATCCCATAGACTGAATTTGCACTGCATAATATGCATATACTATGACTAAAAGGTAAAATATACTTCACAGTGCTATATTGTTCAAAGCCTTGTACATAGATTTACATAAGTATTTTTTTTTTCTTTTTGAGAAACCAGAATTTTTTTTCAGGGCAATATTTTTGATGGTTGGAAATATAAGTGCATTTTCTAATAAAACATGCACTTAACCATGTTAATTATTCAATTTCTGTAGTAATTTGATTACTAATTTAATTATCTCTTGAGATATTGTTTTCATAATTCGATTTATGCCAAAAAACCAAAAATTCAAATATCCCCACCTTGTTATTTTTTTTTTGCTGGATAATTTTCTAGAATATTGAGTTATTGTTAATTTTATGTTGTATAATGTGCGGAAGTCAAAATATGATGAATAAAATTTTAGTTTAATTATTTTAATTTTTCAGGAGTGAATGCTGAGTTATATTATGTAAGGAAGGGAATTGTAAACAACTATGCCTTATCGTTCATTCTTCCTATTCATCCTGACGTACAGGAAATTGTCTTCACATGGCGAAGTCTACGGCAAGGTCCGCCTGACGTAAGTAAAGAAGGGGAAATAAAAATAAATGTCTTCACATGACAAAGTCTATAGCATTTTCCACCTGAGATCAGTAAAGAAGAGGGAAATGAAATAGTTCATTAAAATAAAGTGATTTCTGAACATTTTACTGTCTTTATTCTGGTAGTGACTTGAAAATGCATTTGAATATGAACATAAGCTGGAGAAATGAACACTTGTTTTTCTGAGTAAATAACAGTCAAGGGACATAACTCTCATTATCTTTGAATTTAAATACATTTTAAAATAGCATTTCTTTAAAAAAAAAACATGTTCAGTTGATTTCTTTGTTTCTTTTTATGGCTTGTTAAGTTTTATTTTGACACTTTGACATTGCTGTCTAGATGTAATTTTATTGCCATCTTGTTTCCAAACTTCTATCAGTAAATGCTATGATTAGTTTGGCTTGTTTAACATTATAAAACACAACAGAGCAGTGGGAGATAGGGAAGCAATGTCAGAAATGTGTACCTTAATGAGCAGGTAATGCCAGAGTGGGAATGCTACAGTGGAGATTGGCAGCCATACTTCACAGGAGTCTTCTGTAGCAGGCTAGGCCTGACTTAATCATGCATATGTCGAATCTCTCAGTACTATTGAGTCTGTACATGTATCTTCTGACATATGTTGAATCTCTGAGTACTATTGAGGTTTAGAAGTCTGTACATGTATCTTCTGATATATGTTGAATCTCTGAGTACTACTGAGACTCAGAAGTCAAGAAAACTAGTATACATGTATCTTATGTCATAACACAGCTTAATGTTATATACTATAATACTAAATTCTAGCTACCCTTGAATTCACTATTTTATTCTGTCCTGACCCATTCAAATCACTAAACTTGATATTTTGCCTAAATGAGCTTGATTTTCTCTCACTGAGCTCATTTTCCCTAAAAGAGCTCACAGTCAGTTTTATTCTGTCATTAATTTCTTCAACACCATGAAATCACCAATTTTCCTGGATTTAATTTTTGTGGCAGAGACTTACAAATTCATATCCCCTTTGAAATTATATAAAATTTTCAAATGCATAATCACTCAACAATTTTAAAGCCATGAAATCATATCCCCTCAAACAAATAAGGTTTTCTAAAACCTTGAAAATTTGGAGAAAAAATTTGGGAGGATATTATCCAAGCCTTGGGGCCATTAAACCTTTTTCCAAAGGAATTGATAGTGGAAAAGTGAGAATGAGATCAAAAGTGAGCTCGTCTAAGTTTGATGGCCCTCAAGGTTGGTGTTTAGGGAAGTTCTGAGTATTAAAGTTTGGCTTTCTTGGAGCATAAATTAGTTGGTCTTTTACCTCAAAAACTTCAAAATTTAAAGTCCCCTTGAAAAAATAGTTATTTAACAGTAAGTGATTGCACAGTTTCAATTTTGCTAATTGGATGCATGGTTATTTATGCGTTTTATGAAGAAAAACTTGTTTGTCTGTTTAGCAAGCATATCAAACATTTCTGTAGGTAACTAATCTATTATTTAACATAGATTTTATGGCCATTCATCTGAAAGAATTGTAAGGAGAAATGATTCTTATACAAAAATGTGGACAATCCACCAAGTAAATTCATAAATTGTGAGAAGAAAGTGCATTCAGAGGCCAACTTGAATAATTAACATAGTTCATTGACATTCATGATAAAAATAAATTCATAGTAAATTAATCACAAGAAACGTATGATTCAAATTAAGTTTTTCTTTCAAATTCTCATGATACATGTATCGAGTATATACATTTTTAGTGGCAATTTAGGAAAATATTAGTGTTGGCAAATCGGACGATTTTTAGTAACCGGTTACTCGCATAATCTTCCGATCGAGTACCCGGTTACTCGGATGATTTTTTGTTATAGTTTCCGTATTTATTATTTATCTCATCCTTTTACACATTGATAGAAGTAAATAATAAATGTTACATAATATGAACTTTATTTACAAATAAAAACTCCAAAAACACAATATCTTCGAAGAATTTTGATTTCATATGTCACTTAAAACGGGGAATTTGTTTTTGTTTAAGAATAATTATATTATCGACACCTGAAGTATTAATTAAGATATATGTCGCGATCAAGGAAAATTAACGTACCCTTTAACACTTTGCAATTACTGTTTATATTTGTTGAGTTTCATGCAAGTCGCTGGTTATCGAATTATTTTTCAATCTTATGTGATTTAGCATATTTATAGTTCCACCCGTATACGACAGCTCCGATTCACATAAATTGCATCTGACAGATTTCGAATCAGCCGTTCTTTAACAATATTTCTAAGATTTAGATGTTTGCGGCGGCATCTTGTCAAAGTATGTTCCTCTGACTAACACGGGTCTAAATGAGGTAATTATAACTCAGGTCTTCAAAACGTGTACCCCCTGGCAATTAAAGTCATCAATTAAACCAATCAAAACAAATCGATCCTATTTGTGAACCACAAGAGCAAGCCTAACGGTAATTAAATCAGGGAAATGTGTCAATGTACCTTTACAAATGGCATAAAAATTATTTTATACGTATTTACTTAGCTGCAGATCTGTAGCTCTCCGAAAAAATAAATATTGATAGACCGGAGAGCTACAGTGCCACCCATTGAAAAAACTGTATATTTATTGCACACAAAAAAGTGCGCTTGATTCTTGAATAATTTTTCCAAATTCTTACCTCAATTGCAAAAAATGGAAGATTTCAAAAAAATTACTCTCTCCTGTATCAAGTTCTCTCGTAGTTGACATCTGAACGAAGCATATTGGACCGAATTATCTTTGAAACCAAAATGGCAGTATAAAGAAGCGTAATGTCCGATGATTGCAATATCAGGGCCAAGAGGACTATTAACAACAATTATGAGGAATGTTTTGTTGTGGAAAGAGTCAAAGAATATGTTATAGGAACGCACGGTTAGTAATATTTTGAGATTATAGCTTTAAAAACATGGAGAAATAAATCGAGAACCGAGCGCATTTTTTGTGCGCAATAAATATACAGTTTTTTCAATGGGTGGTTCTGTAGCTCTCCGGTCTATCAATATTTATTTTTTCGGAGAGCTACAGATCTGCAGCTAGTATTTACTATGAAAAATGTACTTTTATCCGAGTAACCGAATAGCAGTTTTACTAACCGATACTCGCATCGTTCGACGATTAACCGGTTAACCGGGTACTCGTTGCCAACACTAGAAAATATACAATTTTATTATGTTAGACTTGTCACCAAGAATGACTATTCTAATGTCAAAGATTCAGATATTATTTTGTTCATTTGATATACATATATTAATGAAAACTTAATACAAATTAATGTATTTTCATAATAATAATCAAGGAAATTGGAATGCCAGATTACAGGAAAGGTTGATCAAAAGATAAATTAACAAATTCATGAAAAGGTCTTTCCTATGCAAATTTGTAATGGCATCAATTGAAAGCCAATTGCAGAGTTTTTTTAACAAGTCGATTTTAGATGTTTTTAATGTTGTTGATTTTTCTTTGTTTCTCAGATCTACTACAACATGAGTTTTGAGGTGTCTAACCCGCGAGCCATGCTGATGCCAGTCGCCAACATCTCTAATACAGGAAAGGTCCCCAACTCACTCTCAGGTATCTATCATTCAGGGAGTTTGTGTCACAGTGGGAATATTTCACCTACATTATTAGCAAACCCTGCTATATCCATGCAGTTACAGACAGTCCTATTTATTTGAACAAAAACATAAAATGGATTCATTTTGTTAGCCATAAGTTTAAAAAAAATCAAAGTACTGAGACAGTACTGGAAGACGGGGTCAAAATAATCTTCATGCTAGATTTCACAAACAGGGTTTTTTACGAGTTTTAATAACAACTTAATTTTTCATTAACATACTAAAAACAAAACAGTGAATAATATACATTCACATTTTTCATTTAATTTGAAGTTAATGCATGTAATTGCTTAGTCTGGAAACCTTTCTGAACTGCTCCGAATTTCATCGGGTACGTACGAATTAATATTTTTTCCGGAAGTAAACAATGGATGATGCGTACGCAGTCATAATAATACGCAGGATAGTACTTTGTTTACTAGTGTGATTTACAGTGAATATTTTCAGTTTTAAATTATCAAAATACTTTATTAGTTTGAGTTAGAAAAAGGTTCATATCACTTTCTTCAGTTTGATACAGAATGTTTATGTTTTGATCAAAACAATTTCTGCACTCTTTCATATGCGTAGATTTATTTCCTGTGTTATCACCACGGCTTCCGTTTTGAGGCCTCTGACAGTAAACTAAAAGACGGGGTCACGTGACCTGGCCTCTAAAAATGAAAATATTTTTAATCCATTTTCAGTGATACTTTCTATTGTTACCCACATCAATAGTACATTAAATATATGTAAACTAGTGTTGGCAACGAGTACCCGGTTAACCGGTTAACCGTCGAACGAAGCGAGTATCGGTTAGTAAAACTGATATTCGGTTACTCGGATAAAAATACATTTTTCATAGTAAATACGTTTAAAATAATTTTTTTGTTATTGTAAATGTATATTGACTTATTTCTTTAATTTAATTACCGTTAGGCTTGCACTAGTGATTCACAAATAGGATTAATTTGTTTTGATTAGTTTAATTGATGACTTTAATTGCCAGGGGGTACACGTTTTGGAGACCTGAGTTATAATTACCTCATTTAGACCCTTGTTAGTCAGAGGAACACACTTTAACAAGATGCCGCTATAAACATCTAAAGCATGGAAATATTGTTAAAGAATGGCTGACTCGAAATCTCTCCGATGCAATTTATGTGAATCGGAGTTGTCGTATACGGTTGGAACTACAAATACATGTATGCTAAATCACCTT